CCCACACAGTGCTGTATGCAAATACAGAATAATTTATGTCTGGGCAATGTCTGAGCATGCATGTGCCTAATTGGCATTTCTCAACAAATGCCCAGAGCATCAAGGGGTAATGATGTCGTCTTGGATATGGAATTCAAGCAAAGGTACACTGCTTTCCCCCAGTACTCTATTCAATGACATTTACTGGGATGAGGGCAAAGACGGCGTGTCACTTCCAGAGAAATGACCAGTTTTAAAGAAGCGGTCATGTGACATCACAGACACCTCAACACATTGGCCTTGATGTAATATATCCGGATAAGATTTTCAAAATATTTATATTTAAAAAAAAATTATTTGTTTTTTTAAAATATTAAAATATCGGGGGGCGTGTCCTGGAAGCCGAGCGCACCGGTCGCATGTGCTGAGAGCTCCGCTCGAGTCTGCTTCCTAAGAGCAATTAACCCGCAGAAACCAGAGAAAATACAGCCTGCTACCGACATGTCACAGCCCAAAGGCAAGCGGACAACGGAAAAACATGAAAAAACGAATTTCTTTGCGGCGAGAGCCGCACATGGCAAACACTGGCAGCCGCCAGACCAGGCCCAAGATGGCGCCGAAAGCGACCATGAGGCTACTACACAGCCCCTGGAAGGGGAACCTCCACTCACCCACAGCATGATGAAAAATCTGCTGGAAGAAATGTCAGACAAACTTCTCCAGAAACTGGATACAGCACTGAAAGACCTCAGAAAAGATGTACACGACTTGGGACACAGAACATCCCAAATAGAAACTAAAATGGAGGGAATCTCAGAAGCTCACAATGCTCTGGTAGATAAACTGGAGGGGCTGACAGCAAGAGTAATGGCACAAGATAACAAGATAGCAGACATGGAGGACCGCGCCCGCAGGAACAACCTGCGAATTAGGGGCACACCTGAGACAGTGAGCACGGCGGACCTTAATGCGCATGCCACAGGTTTGCTACGACACCTAGCCCCTGACTTGCCCGCAGATACGCTCCTCCTGGACAGGATCCACCGCACAGCGAGGCCCACATTTCTGCCCCCAGAGACCCCCCGAGATGTACTCCTGAGGCTACATTACTTCCACGCCAAGGAGGCCATTCTGGCGGCTAACAGAGCAGGCAAAGCGTTACCGGACGAATACAAGAACCACACCATTTACGCGGATATATCGGCTTACACCCTTAAGCGAAGGAGGGAGTTTAGACCCATCACGACGGCACTGCGGGAACACAGACTGCCGTATAGATGGGGATACCCCACCAAACTATTGGTAACGAGAGGGGGGAAGACAACAGCAATCGCCATGCCTGAAGAAGGGGCACAAGTTTTGAAAACCTGGGACATAGCTCCGGCAATGAACCTGAATGCTGCCACAGAAGTGCCCAGAATCTCTCCGGAATGGAGGAAAACCAAAAAAAGATAGGAAAACCATAGAGAACGCAGATGGACATTGATCACCACTGTAGCACGCTTTGCAACAACAGCTTTACGAACGGACTCTAAAACACCGGTTGGGTAATGTACCGTTTCGATAACGGGAGGGAATAGGAAACTGTTTAGGAGGTGGAGGGGAACATAAAGGGTCTAGGCGAGAATAGACTACCTGAGGGCAGACCCCGTCCCTACCTGGCACTACTCAGGCACGGGACATACTGTATCAATTTCCACATTGCCAAGCTAAACGATAGACAGTTGCATCAATGAATGACTGGGATCACAGGGCCCAGGGGGAGGAACAAAAGGGTCATAGCAGGAGGACTCGTATAAGCTGAGGGCGCGTACTGTTAAAAAAAAAGAAAAAAAAAGAAACAGGATTTCATTATGTTAGACAATCACTTAGAAGCACTCGAGGGAGGGAGCTCCCACAGCACATACAAGCACTGCCAAGCCAAACCAGAGGCATATACCGAAATGGTTAAGGAGTTTATATCTCCAATGTTTTTGATTGTTACATGTTATGTTTTTTTGTACTAATGTTGATGCACACACTGTAGGGCTTGTGGGTAGCCCCAAACCACTCCTCCGAAATACGATGATTACAGCACATGCTAGACAAGACCAACGTCCTCCCACTACACTGAAGGGTAGAGCACAAACTACATTGGGGACCTCCCTGCTCAGCTTGACTCGGCTGGGAAGAGCAGGGACCCCTGCACCAATAAGCGTTTCAATGATTTACATGCAAACCTGCATAAGACGACCACCGTGAGGATATGCACATATAATGTGAGGGGACTGAATGTCCCCGCAAAAAGGCACCTCCTTGCCCGCGAACTCAGAGCAGCCCGCACTGACATCCTCTGTCTACAAGAGACCCACTACCGCAAGGATGACTTTCCCAAATCACTGCTTAAAGATTTCCCACATCAATTTCACTCCACCTCCAATGCGAAGTCGAAAGGGGCTTCCATCCTGATAAGCAAAGACACCAAATTCTCCCTCCATGACCAAGATATAGACCCCAATGGCAGATACGCCATAGTGTCAGGCACAATGAATGACATAGAGTACACGATTGCTAACATATACTCGCCCAACACTAACCAAAGAAATTTTCTACACAAATTAGCGAGCATACAATATGGCATCACAATACTATGCGGGGACCTTAACCACATTCTAGACCCAAAACTGGACACCACCCTACCCCTACACAGCCGCAGACACCGACCTCTGCAAAGACAATGCAAGGCCATACAACGACTTCTACACATGCACCACTTATATGACACCTGGAGAATCACACACCCCGACGAAAAGGCATACACACACTACTCCCCGGTTCACAACTCATATTCCAGGATAGATAACATCCTAATATCTGGTTCCCATTTGAACCAACTGCAATCCTGTGACATAGGCCAAATAACGTGGTCTGATCACGCCCCGGTAACACTGGAGCTTAAAGATAGTTACGACTTCAAACATCGTAGCCCCTGGAAAATAAACGACTCACTACTGCTGGACAGAAATTTTAAGGGGGAACTGACAGAAGAGCTGAGGGCTTACTTCGAGGATAACGACACGGGAGACATGGCAGCCACAATGGTGTGGCAAGCCCATAAGGCTGTCATGAGAGGCCTACTGATTAGGAGAGCAGCGTTCATAAAAAAGACCACGCAAACACAACTTAAGGGATGGCAAAAGGAACTATATGACCTAAACACGCTAAACCAAATTTCGCCAACCATTGTAGCGAAACAACGCATAATCCACATAAAGAGACTCATACACCAACAAGCCATTGACCAGGTCAACAGGCATATGACTAAGCTGAAAACGACACACTATGTTCAGGGCAACAAAGCCAGCAAATTACTAGCACTCCGCCTAAAACTCAGGCAAGCAAACCAAAAGATCCACCATTTAATAGACCACAAAGGGACAAAAGTCTCAACCCCGAAAGGCATTAGTGACGTATTTGCCCGGTACTACTCGGACCTATACAACCTTAAAGATAACACCACCACCACACAGCCAGATGCACAGGGAATAGCAGACTATGTAGGGGGAGTTCAGCTACCAACGCTGACAAAACTACAACAGGACACACTTAGCAACCCTATCACAACCCAAGAAATGATCGACACGATAAATTCCTTGCCAAACGGAAAATCCCCGGGCCCAGATGGCTTTAACAACACCTATTATAAAACCTTTCAGACGACCCTAGCACCCCAACTGGTTAAAACATTAAATGAAGCAATAACTAACCAATCTCTCCCTAAAGAAATATTGCTAGCACACATAGTAACACTCCCGAAACTGAACAAGACACCAACGACACCACAGAACTTTAGACCCATATCACTTCTCAACACGGACGCAAAGTTACTGGCAAAAATATACGCCAAGAGACTGGGATCCGTGCTACCCCACATAATACACAACGACCAGGTGGGGTTCGTCAAAGGGAGGCAAGGGTCAGACAACACCAGGAAGGTCATAACTCTACTGCACAAAATACGCACTCACAGCGAAGGGGGGATACTGGTCTCCCTAGATGCAGAAAAGGCCTTCGACCGTCTGCACTGGGGATTTCTACAGGTGGTCTTGCAGAAATGTGGGATCCCGGACACAATAGTGGCAGTAATAAAAGCCTTGCATAGCGCACCAGCAGCGCAAGTGCTAAATTCCGGATTCCTGTCTGACCCCTTTAAGCTCACTAACGGGACGAGGCAGGGGTGTCCCCTATCCCCATTGCTTTATGTACTAGCCCTGGAACCCCTGGCGATAAAAATTAGGGAAAACACTTCCATACACGGTGTGAGAGTGGGGGGAAACGAATACAAAGCGAACCTATTTGCGCACGACATCCTACTCACACTCACACAACCCCTATTGTCACTGCCGAACCTACTGAAGGAGATTCGACTTTATGGGCACCAATCGTATTATAAGCTTAATGTCGCAAAGACGCAGGCAATGGGGGAGGGGGTACCGGGCCACATAACAGCACACCTAAAAGCCACATTCCCCCTCGATTGGAGGGATGACTACCTCACTTTCCTGGGCCTACGAATAACTAGGACGATAGCCGGACTCCATGAACACAACTACGGGAAATTAAAGAGCGACATAATCGCCACTTTACAAACGTGGGAGGACAAGTACCTGTCTTGGGTGGGCAGGATAGCAGCCATCAAAATGATGGTGATGCCCAAACTGCAATACTTATTTCGCACATTACAGATACAACTATCTAACATATTTATCCAAAAACTCCAACAAACCCTAAACAGATTCATATGGGCAAATCGCAGAATCCGAGTAGCAACTAAAACGTTAAGTAAACCAGTGACAGCAGGGGGTTTAGGGCTACCGGATGTGGGCACATACTACAGGGCGACCCTAATAGCCACGGTGGTGCTGGCACACAAGGCGGAAGACAGACGGCAGTGGGTAGAAATAGAAACGATGTGGGCATGTCCAAAAGGGCTACACCACCTATTCTGGATGCCTCACCACTTACGCCCCAAGCCCATAGGAATGCCCGACACCACATCACTCCTATTGAGGACGTGGGATGCCACCAAACCTCAGTTGGGATACACGAAAAAGTGGTCATTAGCAACTCCGATACAGAGCATACATATAGCTAATCCCACATTCAATTACAAACCATGGGAAAGAGGTGGCTGCACGTTAGTCAAACACCTGTATCACAACAACACCTTGATGCAATTCCCAGACCTCCAGAACCGATACGGCCTACCGCCGCAATCACTGTTCTCTTACCTCCAACTCAAGTCACTCCTGGAACATGACACAGAGGTTACCACACCTAAAAAGGCAAGGAACATTAAGGGAATTTGCATAGCTAGGAAGATACCAAACAAAATGATCTCAAACATATACAAGTTACTGTCAGACCCACCAGACGAGGACAGAGAGAAGTTCCAAGAAACATGGCAAACAGACATAGGCAAAACACTAACAGCAGAACTCTGGCAAAATGCGTTCATAGCACACAAGGGCAGATCCAGATGTGCTTCTCACTTAGAATTGATACGCAAAATACAGTATAGATGGTACATGGTACCGACCAGGCTAGCAACTATCTACCCCAACACGTCTATGAATTGCTGGAGATGTGGGAGGGAGAAAGGAAAGATGTACCACATATGGTGGACATGCCCCCTTATCACCGATTATTGGGAGGAAATAGGCAACATAATTGTGACCGCTACACACCAAACGGGGAAACTGGAACCGGAGTGTGGACTCCTTTTCATGAACTTAGAAAAACTCTCCAAAACCCAAGCCTTCCTAATGTTTCACATACTAATTGCAGCAAACTTACACATTGCAAAGGCGTGGAAATAGACAGATACCCCAAGCATAGACACAGTGATTAAGCAAATCACAACGAACATAGATTACGAGACAAGGATACACACAGGGCTTACAATACAAGAGTATAGAACAAGAGCCAAACATGAGTGGGAATGGTTCCTTGAAAGACAGGACGAAGTAAGGAGAGGCAGTGACACATCATAGAACACAATAGTAGGCAGCGGGGACAACGGGAGTAAAAGGGGCGAACATAGATTCAATGGGAAGCTCACACGGAACCCCTAAGGGACAGGACCAGAGGAGTGGACACCCACACTGTACATAGTTGTGTCAGTAGACACCCAACACTAACAAAGGGAGACAGCTAGGATATTCACTAGCCGCCCAGGCAGAAAGGCGAAGCACTAATATCGCGCAATAGACGACATAAAAGGACCGAGGGAGCCCAAGTGCTTACGAGGTTTACCAGAAAACAGCCTCTGGGGCTAGACGAGAAAGGCAGCAAACTCCCCCTTCCCCCTCCCCCCCATCTAACCACCTCCCCTCCTTGTAGTATCCTTACCTCACATACCAAGCAGAGTTCACGGGTACACCCAAGACTAAGGAGACTCAGAGTATGGGGCCCGCACAGATATTTGAAGCAGTATGGCAGAACAAACCACGCACGCCTCACCAATTCGACAGTATTGCCAGACACACACACCGTTCAGAGGCAATAAGTATTGATGATTGAGCATGTATAACAATGTATTGCATTGATTGGAACTGTATAGTGGTAAAGTTACTATAAACCCTACCATTTTTGCCTTCTGTACCCCATACATACTTAAGAAATAAAAATGGTCAAATTGGAAAAAAAAAAATATTAAAATATCAAAATATATCAAAATTTAACAAAAAAAAAAATCAAAATAGTAAATCATTTTAAAATGATATAACAAAAATATTAAATTGCTGGAAAAATCTTAACTAACATTAATTGGAGTTTTTATTGGAGTGTATTCTACAAACTGTGAACTTTGATCGTTAGCACTAATTTTAACGTGTGGTCTACAGTGTGTGGTGGATTATTACAAAAGAAAGTTGCTAATTTGTCAGCCAGAGACCAAAAATTGCATTACAAGCTCCTCAGAGACAGTTAATCATTTTAATAGCAGAATCTTAGCATTCAGTCCTTTTAACAAAACACTTCTCTGAGACACTTCTTGAAAACTTGGTTTAGACACTAACGGTGAGCAGTTTTGGTTACCGGCTTAAACTGGTCTTCTCTGTCCAAATAAAGACATCTCACTTATCTGAGTGCCAATAAACTGAGAATTACATGGGATCAAAGCCAGACTGATAAATTTACAGTCCCCACCCCACAAGCTGTGCCCAAACAGCTTCTAATATGGCTGGTGGTAAAAAGAAAAAAGAGGGGAGGAGGGGTGATATCTGCTCCACCATCCGCTAGGCCAGATCGCAGATACAGGAATAATCTTGGATGAGGATGTGCTCCACGCTATTCATGAAATGCCAAGCTGAGATTTAAAGGAAGGGGAGATATTAGAAGGCAGGCTTCATGCAAATCAGACATTTGCTTGCGATACTTCTATTTTGGGGTCTGTTTCTTCTCTGCTCTTTCTGTTCCCTTAGCCTTCTTGCCATTTTCTCCTTTTCAATCCATCTGTTACACACTCTGTTCTTTCGCTGTCATTTTGCCATGAAAACTCAGCGGTGGCTTAACCCTTTTTGCTGCTTTTTCACATCGCTGAAAGATGTACAGAAGATTGGTGACGTGAGAGAATGTTTTTTAAACTTTGGAGGCCTCGCGACATTGTATATTGCTACCGTTTGGGGCAAAAAGGAAAACAAATGTAAGATTTAAGATGATCCTAATTCACGAGACCATAGGCTAGTCCCTAACGAGAAAAATAATGTGAAGAATGCTGGACCCCTAGAGTGGCTGGGATTAACGAAATACTTCCTTGGAGATGAAAAGCTTGGATAGAAAATGAAGTTGAATACTAACAATAGTCATGGTTACAGAAAAACAGATAATTGAAAAACAGGCCAGGATCAAGGGAGACGGAGATCTTTGTAATCAGAGCATACTCAAAGTAAAAATAAGAAATACACTAAATCATTAAGAATGCACGTAAGATCTGCAGAATCCACGAAAGGGCAGTGAATCATCGGTGGTTCTAAAATAACCTGCTGAATGACTACAAAAAGGTGTAAACAAACATGGCACACATCAGGAAATGCCAGCATTTCAGCATGGCCGAATTGACGTAAGCCATTATTATTAAAATATAATACAGCATGGATTGACCGGCATCAGAAAGTGGGAATGAGCTGCTTGTGCTCTGTGAGCTGTTCTCAAAAAAGCTAAAGTTAAAAACATGTAAAAAATGTCACGCACCGCATTGACCATGGTTATTATTCCGAGGTCCACTTATGGTCAACAAGCCACAGTTTGAGAACTCATTGAAACAAATACAGCATGCTTCAGAGTCAGTTGTTTTGTTTAAAAATATATATTTTTTAACAGAACATACAGCCGTATTGATTTCTATGGTAAAGGTTTGATAAAATGGCAAAAACATCAACAATGTTGTCAATAGGTATAGCAGAAAAGACAAATATTTCTAAATAAATGATGTTGATATTATATAAAATGAAATACACACAACAGCCCGTTCTTAAAGGTAGTATTAAAGGACCACTATAGGCAATCAGACCACTTCAGCTCAATGAAGTAGTCTGGGTGCCAGGTCCATCTAGGTTTAACCCTGCAGCTGAAAACATAGCAGTTTCAGAGAAACGGCTATGTTTACATATGGGTTAATCCAGCCTCTAATGGCTGTCTTATTGACAGCCGCTAGAGGCGCTTCCGCGCTTCTCACTGATTTTCACAGTGAGAAGAGCCAGCGTCCATAGGAAAGCATTGAGAATGCTTTCCTATGTATTGACTGAATGCGCACGCGTCTCTTGCCCTACATGCGCATTCAGCCGATGACGACTGAAGGAGGAGGAGAGTCCCCAGCGCCGGTAAGATTTTAACCCCTTCCTTCCCCTTCAGCCTGGCGGGAGGGGGACCCTGAGGGTGGGGGCCCCCTCAGGGCACTATAGTGCCAGGAAAACGAGTTTGTTTTCCTGGCATTATAGTAGTCCTTTAAAGGCGTCTGCTGTTAAATCTGCATCACATGTAAAGACACTCTGACACCATTTATCCTCTGGCTTCCTACGTAAAGTAGGAAGGCTTTCATTGTTCACCCTTCCCTCAGTGCACGCCAAGGAATCTTCCCCATTTCCTTATCTCGGACACAAGGCCAAGATCTATGGTGACTTTAAACAATAAATGAAGGGGAAGTAGGGAGGTTAAGAATCCTAACTCTCTGTTATCTTTCTCTGCTCTGGAACAAGATACAGATTACTAGCTAATAATGTATATCGTTTATTTTCTTTTTAAAGAAAAAAGGCTGCATATTCTCTAGTGTAAAATGAATGCACATTTGCATCCAGTACAGTGTTGACATCAGTCGTACCTTTAAGTGTGTATATTGCTCAGATCTTGGCTCTGTCTGCTTGATAGCCATGTGAGACTTACTGCAATGTGGCAATTGAGCTTTTCACAAATTAAAGGGACACTATAGTCAACAGAACAACTACAGTTTAATGTACAGGTTCTGGTGTCTATAGCTGTCTCCGCAGGCTTTTTATTGTAAACACTGCCTTTTTCAGAGAAAAAAAACCTAAGTAATCTCACTGCTTTACTGTAAAGACAAGGGGCAGGGACCCTAAATGGTTATTTTACTACTAGAGTGTCAAGAATACTTGCTTGTGTTGCTGACACTATGTGTTCCTCTAAAGGGAGACTATAGGTACCCAGACCACTTCAGCTCACTGAAGTGGTCTGGGTACAGTGCCCCTATTGAACTTAGTTTTGCAATGTTAAACATCTCAGTTACAGATAAACTGATATGTTTACTTTGTAGCACTAAGTCTGCCTCCAGTCTTAGGCGTTTCCTAGATCCTAACGAATCTTTAGTCCGGTATCAGACGCTAGATGTCCTCATCGTCACGTCAGATTTTTGCCCATAGAAAAGCATTGATTCAATGTTTTCCTGAGGGGAGGTCTAATGCGTGCGTGGCATTTGCCTCACATGCGCATTAGTTCCCGCTCGCTGACGGACTTTGGAGGAGGCGGAGCCGTGACTCAGCACCGAGGGACATTGGCACTGTGTTAAGGTAAGTGAATAAAGGGTTTTTAACATTACGTTCAGGTCAGATTCATTGCACATGTGCAGTAGGTTAAGTTGCTGTTGAGACATTGAGTATCAGCTCATCTGCACACCTAGCAGAAACGCTCACTGCCACAGCCCTGGTATCCAATCACAGAATGTCAGGGATTATGTAGTCTGAGGGAAGGATTTCCGTATATCCCAATATTGTATAAGTGAATATGGGATTTGTTAGTTGGGATTATTGAGGCGCAATTAATGACTGTCAGACGTCCTGAAACACACCTAAACGCTCACATGAACAGTTTTTATTGCTTATCTTAGACATTTGGTATACCAACGGTATTATCTTAAAATGGTGGGACGCAGGTTAAAGTTTTGCCATAAAACTATTAGCACAGTGCAATCTGGATGCAGATTACTGCGTCTAAACATTGATCTATCACATACTATGGGGAGACCAACGTTGGTGCCTCAAAATACCTAAATGATAAAACACAGAAATAAAACAGATTTAAAAGAATAAAGCTAGAATACACGTTTACGCTTTCCCTTGCCTGTCCTTAGCCTAGAGCCAGTACAACACAAGTTATAAAGATAAATAAAAAGTAACAAAATGAGCAAATCCAAGAAGGAGGCTAGGCGCATGCTAAGACTATAGGCAGGTTTTTATTTACTAAGGTTTTTATCTGGGCATGTGTCACAGCCAAAAATGGAATGTTGACTGCAGGTCAGTAAGATCAAACCGTTACGTGCTCATCTGACGCCATTTTCTAACTGTGATAGGTATCATGACAAACTGGAAACTATCATATCCGCAATTAAATATCAATTTCTTACAGGTTTACAGCGAGAATGAAAATAAAATCACCCTGAGACACGTGTGTGCGGCTAAGCAGTCTAAAACATCTTCAGTAGAGACGTGCTGGTTTTAAAGCCGGAAGCGAGGGCATATGCGAGGAGACAAATGTGTCTGCAACTGTGGGCCTGGGGGCAGCTGGAAGCTTGGAAACCTGTCATGGCAGCTTAACTGACACAAAACCCAGGGACAGCTGTCTGCAGGGAGATCGCCAGTAATATGTCACTGTCTGTATGTGCATGTATGCCAGCCTTAACCCCCAAAGTGTCAAGGAGTCTGGGAATTGCCATTGAGAAAGGCGGCATTATGTCATATACATCTCAATTAAATGATGTCTCATACAGACTCCAGTGGTACAGGTATGTAACATAACATACAAACTGAATACCTACGCTCAAACTCCCACTACTCCTAGGCGGCAGCAATGACTACAGTACACATCAGCCTGCCCACATACATACAATAAAAAAAACATAGAAAAAAAAAAGTTACATGAGCACTATTCCAAATCCCTAAATAACTGAAGGTTTTTCAGTATCAATCCGATCGCCATTAAAGTGTAAACTCATGTCAAGGCAAAACCTCTTAGTTGAGTTTTTGTTTGCTAACAATTCACCTTGCTGCTTTAAGTGAAAAGGTAGATCTATT